CGTTAGCCCAGACAGCCTCAGCCCAGGGCCTTTTCTACTTCAGATTTTGATTTATTGTCAAGACACTACAACACTGAAGCCAATGACTTAAAAGTCCCTATCAACTTTGGAAGCTCCATGGTTTTCCTCTTGTATGTTCTGGAGAATTATAGGAAATACCTGAATTCTTAAAATAAGTATAACTTAGTCTACAGAGTCCAGCCGTTGGAAACTTGTTCCTTCTGAAGAGGTTTTTCAGATGAGCTGCTTTTTTGGCCTTCTGGGACTTGGTCCAGGTTTTTTGCCCATCCCTGGTGCTCCTCCTTTGGGAAACCACCCAGCAACACCCCACTCATGTCACTTTCAGTGTCTAAGCCCACATCCCACAAAGCCCAGGCCCAAAAGTCCATCAAGGAAGAGAGGAGTGCTTTTATTGCCAGAATGTATTTGGTCAGACCGATGGGGCTGTTTTCTGCTTAAGGGTGGCAGCGTCCGCTCTTTCAACTTGATACTGTGACTCTTGCCTCTACCTCTTGTCCCTTCCTTTCCTTACCTCCTGTTTTTTCCGGATTCTTCTTTATGCAAGTCTTATCTCAGCTTACAAGCATGTCACAGGACTTTAGAACCAGCTCACATATTTTCAGTTACTACTGAAAATGTGAGTTTTTACATAACCATAGAAAAAAATTGAAAATGTAGTTCAAGGACTACCCCTTTAAAACAGGACCTAACTTAGGTGATTAGGAAACACAATTTCCACGTTATAGTGTTCCAAAGTACAGGCACACCTCATTTTATTGCGATTTGCTTTATTGCGCTTCAAGCATACTGTGTTTTTTTTACAATAAGGTATTTTTAAAATTAAAGTATGCACATTTTTCTTAGAATGGTATTGCACATTTACTGGATTGCAGTGTAGTATAAATGTAATTTTGATGTGCACCAAGAAACTAAAAAAATCCATGTGGCTAGTTATGTTACAACATTTGCTTTATTTTGGTATCTGGACCTGTAGTATCTCAGAAGTGTGCCTGCACAGAAAAAGGTGCAAAGCTGCCTGTTCAGCTTACAAAACTAGCCATCCCCTATTAGGAGCCTGAGGTTCCTCAGCTCAGTGTAGCCACAGTTGACCTCCCCCTTTCTCCTTGAGCTCAGACCCCCAGTAGTTCAGACAGCTACCAGGGATCAGGCAAGTCGATGATGCAGCCAGAGTTTTTCAGAGTTGAAGGTGAGGCTGGCAGATTGGAAGGTGTCACAAATTTGTGAGCACAAATAGCAGAGAAGCACAAGGATCATACTTCTGAATTTGTGTGCACGCACAGCTTAGACGGGCTGTTTTTCCCCGGCTCTGTTGGAAACCTTGGGCAGAGCTGCAGGAGAAGTGGCTCAGCCGTACGAGGGGCTGAAATGGAGGTTTTATCCCTTTGGCCTTTCTTAGAGATGCCCTGACAGCACCTTCCTTTTGTTTGCAGGTCACATGCACTACTTTGCAAGATTTCTCTGAAGGTCTAGATCTGAAATAGGCCTCGGCTTCTGATGAAGCCTGTCCTGCCTACTCGCCTTCCCAGGGTCCAAATGCAGAGCACTTTAGGGCTAGTCTGTAGTGTAGGATTTATCCTCAGCTGTGCCCAGGAGGCAGTGAATTGTGGACATGCGCAAAAGTTTTCTAGTACAACCTTGTGTTTAAATCAGGAGATACTGAAAGATCTTTCCAGTGTCAGGTTCTCTTGACTGTGCAGTGGCGGGAGGTGTTTCTGGATTGGAGAGTGGGTGGGATGGCTACAGTGGAAGATAGCATTTGATTGATGAGTGAATATGAGAACAAGTGGCCGTGCCTTGTTTCTCAGAATGACTTGACACGTTGTTAACCTGGACATGGGTCACAGGAAATAGGGTGGATTAGGGTGAACAAATGACTAACATGGAAGTGACCCTGATGGGTTAATTGGGTTTCTAAGAAATGAATGTGGGGTGCATATCATAGTGTTCCATACAAGGGTAGCTTTGAGCCTAAGGGATGACTGACACCTCGGTGTTAGATTAGAATTTAACCCTTGGTATTGGAATCACACCACAGGGCCTGTGTCTACTCATTCCGAAGGTATTTATTGAGATCTTTGGAAACCTTTGTATTGCAAGTCACAATCTGCTTATCTCCTGGGTTTGTTCAAAGAGGGTGCACTGGCTTACCTGCTGCATAAGCTGCACTTGTGCTGATCTCAGTAGCCACTGGAATGAGCTGGGTGTACGAAGCAGCGGTGTGTGGACCTGAAATCCCACAGGGCGTGTTGTTTGGGCTACATTTCAGTCCATCTCTGCCAGTAGCTGCAGGTCACTCTCCCATTTTCCTGTGGATGATGTGGAGATGGTATTTACATGTAGCCAGGCCTGACACGGTGTGCACATTCAGTGTGAGACTACTTCAGAGTATCTACAACTGGCATGTGTTAACAGGGCTCTGAGGACATAAGGAAGGATGGGTGAGAGTTGGAGAGCAGGCCAGAGTTTGGAAGAACTTGTGTATCAGTCTGGTCTTGTAGTCACAGGCTCCTCCCAGCTCCCAGTCTGAAAGTAGAGTGTTCTGTTTGGTGTAGGTTATGGTTTGGATCCAGGAACACTAACAAAAAAATCCATATAAATTAATGGTAATAGCATTCTGAGTACCCCCTCCTCCCTGCAATAAACTGCCAGATACACCAAATAGGAACATTGTACTTTAGGTAGAATTTGCAGGGTAAATGGCAGCTCTTTTGTATTTGAGTTCTGAACACAGTAGTTCCGGGCGGGAGGGGTAGGAGAGCCTGTGTTACTGATGCTCTTCCTGCTCACATCCTTGGGCAGTAGATGGACCAGACCCCAGGATTAGGCTCCACCAGGCACAGAGGCTCTGCATCTCTGGGGGCCCTCCACCTCCAAGTGGACTGCACAGGCAGGCACAATTGCCAGCATGTTCTGTTTGCCGGTTGGATGGCTCCCGCGAGGCAGGGGAGGGAAGCAGCAGACTCTGCACACCCAGTTTCACTCCCTCTGTAGAGAGGAGTAAGTGAGGGCCAGAAAGGGGCCAGGAGTGTGATGCAGGTGGAACTCTGCCATAGAGGAGGAATCCAGAGTGAAGGAAAAGTGCGCCCAAGTGGTGAACCCAGCACATTCTGGCTTCACTTACCAAAGGGAATTGACTCAGTACATCATTAGGACATCCTAGGGTGGATCAGGATTCAGATGTGACCAGATCCAGAAGCTCCAGTGGTGTGGGTGTGGGCAGGGTAGAGGCGCCTTCTCTTAGTTTCTCTTCGTTTCATCTTCAGGCAGGTTCTTCCCTTGTGCCTTCACCAGGATTCCAGGCTTCTGAGATCCTTAGATCAGAGCGTCAGAAATACAGACAGCAAATTTCCTGACTTCTTTGTAAAAACTCTGATTTGCCTCAGAGAGTGCCGCGGACCAGCACAGCAGTAGACGATGAGGCCACCTCAGGGTTGAGAGAAGCGTGCAGGGTGGTCAGGGCGTCGGTGAAAGAAATGACAAACAGACACACTTCAAGAGTGAAAATCTGAGTGTAATTTTCTTTGAGTTTGTGACCAATATATATATGTTTTCCAAAAGCACAGGGACAATGAATATCAATGAAATCAGCTTGCTCATGGGCTCAGTCTATCACCATCAGGGAGGTGATCTACATAACAAGCAATGACTTTTATAGAAGAAAGAAGGAAGTTTAGAAAGACAATAAGGGATTAAAGTTTGTAGTTCTAGAAAGACGGGATAAGATTTTTAGCATTCTTGTAGTGGTTCCTGGTGGTCGTTATCTTTTGATAAGCTTCTGTCTTTTCAGGGAACTTCCGCTGTACTTCCTCTACTTCAGGGTGTTTTGCTGTTCTCCCCCTGCGCGCTGGTTGCCCAGCCGGACCTAGGGACGGTTAGCCCTAAAGGTCACTGCAGGGGGAGGTGCAGCGGAGAGGACCATGCATCTATAGCCAAATCAGTCACTGTGGGTCTGGGGATTGGAAACAGGTGTCATCCCTCCATCACTTGGGCCAAAGGGAAAAAAACAGAGAAAAACCCAGGAGGTCTGTGTCCTCGAGTGGATGCTGCACCAAGTTTTAAAAATGAGTAGTGATTATGCTACATGATGGAAATATGGGTGTATTCTTTTTCCTGACTAATTTATTATTTATTTATTACTGAGCATTTATTATTTCATAAATGGGCAGGATGATAAAATGAACTTTATAAGTATTTGTTTTAATCCTGCCTTGCCCCAAAAGAATTTATAACCAAAAAAAAAAAAAAAAAGACAAGCAGAAAATAAGGGTAAGAAGCAACAGCTTCTTACTGTTCCTAGATGTTAGCCAGAAATAGGACACCAGGAAAAACCTTTTGTTTGGGGGAAAAAAGAAGGGTCTGTCACTGTAAGGCGCCAGTCTGGACTCACAGCCGCTGCTGAATTGACAGCTCAACACTCACCCTCCATGGCTCATGACCTCTGTCTCTCTGTGCAGTTATCCACCTTCTTTTTGGTTTAAAGTGACCTCCAAAACTTACCTCCAACCCCAAAATTACAAAATTTCTTCCTGGAAAGCCAGTGCCCATGATACCCAGGAGGTTTCCTTATCTCTGAGACAGTCCCAGGCGGGGGTCAACCTAGCATATAAACACTGGGGTTTTATTTTTGCTTATTTCCACCTCCCTTGCAGGCCAGAGTACCTTGCAGCCAGTCTTGATCAAGCTGGGATATCCCAGCAGGAGGCCTTGTGTTGAGCCCTCTCCCAAGCTGGTCACTGCTCCCACATTTAAGAAAACAAACCCAACCTTCCAGGGTCTGGCAGCTGGGTTCCTGTGCCCGTTGAGGCAGCCACATCATGTTTAGACAATCCAGCCTTCAGGGGTCCTCCCATGGCCTGGATAAACTCAAGGTTTCGGGAAATCCAGCGAGATGCCACAAGTGAGGGTAGACAGCGTGTTAGGGTTTGCTGTGTGGGTTTGTTTTTTTTTTAATTAACTCTTGGTTGCCTCCCTCTAAACAGACAGCTACAGACAGTTCTTCTAATTCCTCTCAGAAGAAAGAACAACCTACTCGGACAATTTCTTCTCCCACGTCTTGTGAGCACCGGAGGATTTATACCCTGGGCCACCTCCACGACTCATACCCCACGGACCACTGTCACCTTGAACAGGTGAGCACACTCGTTGCTCTGAGATCATCCAGGTGGATGGCCTTTGATTCTGGAACAGCCGCCTTCCCCTCTCTCCTGTGGAGCTAACTGCCCTGAGCCCAGCCCCTTGTGCACTCCCCCATTACACCCCCCAATCGGTATTGAAGGTAGTGGCAACACCACCTTACTCAGAATTTTCTGTGTCAGATTCCTACTGAACGCTTTATGTGCTTTATCTCAACCAGTCCTCACAAATTACCCCCATAAAGCAGGTCCTCAACACCCCCAGAGTTCCTGGTAGAACAAGATTCAAATGCAAGGCTGTCCTCACCCAGGGCGCCTGCTACACTGCCTCCTGCATTCCTCTATCCAAAGGGCCTCTTGGCTTTGTGAGAGCACAGAGCCAGGATTGGGACTGAGGAATGCTGCGCGCTTGGCTCTAGCCCCCTGGCATCACGGGCTGCGGGCCCAGGCTTGCTCAGGGGAGATAGAACTGAAGCCTGGAATTCAGTAGTTCAACAAATATTTACTGAGCAGTGGCTGTTTTGGGGAGCAGGTTCCCAAAGTGTGGGGGATGGACTGGTGCCCATGGGGGAATGTGGCTACCTCTCTGCTCTATAAGGAGAAAAAGGGAGCACTGGGCAGTGAGTTTTTTTTAAATAAAGCTGTATTTCTCTAACTCTATAAACATTTCATTGTATGCTTTCTAATATTTTGACATTTGTGGTAATAATAGATGGGACTTGACATTTTTGACAGTCCTTACTTTTGCAATTTTGCAAAGTCTGTGTCAACTCCCAAGATTTTGAAATCCTGTAAGACTAATTTTCTGAAGTCCAGGAAACTGATGTCAGGAATTGGACAGGCATGAGGGTAAAAAGTGGATGGGACATGGCCCTGCTCCTACGGAGCTCGTGGTCTGGTTGGAAGTGATGGGTAATCCTAATCATCATGGGATAAATTCTGTAGTGATATTATAATGAATTAATGGCAACGGGTATCGAGCACATCCTTGTGGGGGGCTCTGAGCTGACATGCATAGCTTCTTTTTAGTCTCACATCTGTGCAATTTGATAGAGAAACTGAGTCGGAGCTTAGCAGCTTGCTAGTAAATGCCATAGTCCAAATTTGACTCCAGTGAGTTCTTGCAGAGCATGTTCCTCACCCCTTGGGAAAAAACCATCCTGCCCAAAGTACTTCAAAGAAGGACAAAGATGGATGGTCACTTTCTCTGTAACAACTGAGATGTCCTGTACAACACAGGCTTACCCAAATCTATCAGTAACTGTTCACTCAGCACTTGCCACTCAGGACAAGATATTGTTGCAAATTCTAGCAGGACTCTCTGCAAAGACAACTCTCTGACTCTCCAGGAGCTTGCAGTTTGGATTTGAAGGCTAGAGGGTGTGACTCTGAATCCAGCTTGCCTGGACTCAGCCTCCAGCCCCACAGTCACTATCTGGGAGATCCCAGCAGCATCTGAACCAGGCAGCCGGCTTGCAAGTGTGCATTTTCACTCCTCGGCTCCCAGCAACTTCTCTTCCCAACCAGATGATAAAGTACTTGTGATCCCTATAGTTCCTACCCACATTTGCTTTTTTGGACGTGACCCACAGTGAGAAATGCACTTCCTGTTGTGTGCCAGTATACACAGATTATATACATGTAATGAAAAGCACTTGCCCTTATAACAGCACACTCCAGTGTTGTTGTATCTCACTGAAGAAAACTGGGTTTTACAAAAGAGAACATACTATACAAAAACTGTTGAAAGTAATCTATGCTGTTAGAACTCAGAATAGTGGTCACCTCAGTTAGGGCTAAGAGGTGACCTACGAGGGCAGGCGGTATGTGCCGCTCCCCCTCTGATTGCTGTTTGGTTGTGTTCCATCTGAAAAGTTCACCTGTATTTTTTTCATTGTACACACTATTCCTACATATGTAGTCATCGACAGAAAGGGAGGAAATGTTGGCCTCCACCCATTAAACTGATTTCCTGGCCCAGGAACTGATTGAGACGCAGTTTGGGTACCTCAGTCTTTTCAAGAAAAGCCTCCATCGAGATGGAAAGGTACGAGTTAGAGGGTTTTTTCTTCCTTTTTTGCCATTGCTATAAAATGTCTCCTTTTTCCCGGGGCAGCCGATGCCAAGGCCCTACCGGCAGGTGAGCTTCCCCGACGACGACGAGGAGATCGTGCGCATCAACCCCCGGGAGAAGATCTGGATGACGGGGTACGAGGATTACCGGCACGCGCCCGTGAGGGCCAAGTACCCGGACCCCTCCGAGGACGCGGACTCCTACGTGCGCTTCGCCAAGGGCGAGGTCCCCAAGCACGACTACAACTACCCCTACGTGGACTCCTCGGACTTCGGCCTGGGCGAGGACCCCAAAGGCCGGGGCAGCGGCGTGATCAAGACGCAGCCGCCGCGGGGCAAGTCCCGGCGGCGGAAGGAGGACGGCGAGCGCTCGCGGTGCGAGTACTGCAGGGACATGTTCAACCACGAGGAAAACCGCAGGGGCCACTGTCAGGACGCCCCCGACGCCGTGAGAACTTGCATCCGCCGGGTGAGCTGTATGTGGTGTGCGGACAGTATGCTCTATCACTGTATGTCGGACCCCGAGGGAGACTATACAGACCCGTGCTCGTGCGATACTAGCGACGAGAAGTTTTGCCTCCGGTGGATGGCCCTTATTGCCTTGTCTTTCTTGGCCCCCTGTATGTGCTGTTACCTGCCCCTGCGGGCCTGCTACAACTGTGGAGTGATGTGCAGGTGCTGCGGAGGGAAGCACAAAGCGGCGGTATGACTCAGCTCCCTCCCTCCCGTGCAGGGAGCTGGCTCTCACATAACCCCCCTGCCCACCCATTCCCTCCCACCCAAAGGAGCCAGGAGACCGAGAGGCCTCCCAGCTTCCTGGTACCTTAAGGCACCTTTCCGGCCTCGGGAACCTGCCTGGTGGACTCTGCATTCCCCCCAGCCGCCCACTCTGCATCAGCCACACACCCATGCAGTGTTCTGAGGAAAGGAACCTTCTTATAGACTCGCCTGTACTATTATTAACCTGTAATCAAGCTTACTCTGACACACGTTGTTGATTTCCTGTTTTTCCACCCCACCTCTTCCAGTTCAAAGGTGCCTGCAGTAGAACTGCTGATTTTTGGTGGGTTTTATAGTTGGTTTTTCCAAGAGCGTGGAAGACTGTCTTTCCCCTTGGATTCAGTTTGCCTGTTGCTCGTGAGAACGGAGTTCCTGCGGCCACGGGATAGCAGAGTGACGAAACCCTACCAGAAGTATTTTAACCTGCAGTCAGTTATTATGTATATCAGAGATGAGCTAGTTAACTTCTACCACAAAACCAGAGCGCTTTAACTTTTTATAAAGCCAAATTTCCCATGCAAGCTGCAGTTTCTATCTTGAATCTATCATCATTTTTTTCTGCAAACTTCCCCCCATTTGTCAGTTATCACTGATACAAAACATTCACCCATAACATGAGAATTTAGCCTTAATTTCAAATTAACCGTGAAAATCAGGAAAATTCCTTAAACTGTATTGCATCCTCTTGGATCAGGGTTAGAAAGGAAATTTCAGGTTTCGCTGAGCCTCCCCAGTTACCCCTGAAGTAGAACTTACTAAAATTGTGTGCCCACCACATCTAAAAATTTAACAATATTAGAAGAAAATGCTAATGAAGAAATTATTTACTCATTGTTTGGCAAACCAGTCTATTCAAACAAATTAGTGTTCTCCTAACCAAGGTCCATTGAGGAACACTAAGGTTGTGGTATATCAAACTGCAGGAGCTTTACATACACACACACACACACACACACTATTTTCTGTTAACCGGGAGAAAGGGGGATTCTAAATCATAAATTTGAAGAGTGGTGGGTTGCATTTTGTTTGTGGGTTCATGTTTTGTTTTCACTTTGGAGTCAATTTCACGTCACCAAATTCTTCATTTATACTTGGGGAAAAAACAAGGCCATATATGAAAACCCTTTCAATGCCTAAGTGTCTTTTTCCTGCAACTCCAAACCCAGACTTGCCACTTTGGGTGCACAGAGGGTTAGTTTAGCAGGCTGGGTCTACCTGTCGCCTTGCCACATAGCTTCTAATAAGCTGGAAAAGAGTATTTTTCTAATATATTGCAAGGAATAGCCAAACCTTACTACAGAAAGAAAAAAAGTGAAGAGTGATTACCTGTACCTAGCATAGTACAATCAGAACGCCGTGGAAACCATAGGGAACAGGCTTGTCCACGCTGGCTGTTCTCCCCACGGTGATATTCCCGTGGTAACTGCCAGCCAAAGGCATGGCCTGATCCTTCTCTCCCCACTTCCCCCATCCCTTCTTTATTGCACACAGGACATCAGTCTTCAAGGAAACGACTTTCCAGTCTGCCAATCGTATTGGGAAAGGACTAGCCACATTCAGTTTCATGGGAATGTTTTCAGCTCTGCTGAAACATTTCAGCCTGTCAATTTCTTTAGTCAGACCATCGGTGTAAATACCCAGGATGCTTCTAAGTTAGTTGGTAGATGTTTGCATTTGTGGAGTGACTGGTTTGGGCCTTCCAGTTTGGACAAGGAGCAGAGAGCTGTCAGTCTGGTGATGGAAGAGAAAGAAACACTTCCTGCCTGGGAAACATCTAGAAAACCTTCAGCCAGCCTCCAAACGTTGTCAAGAGACCACCATTCCTCCTCTCCCCCTCACCCCCGAGGTATTTCCTCAGGGTCTTTTTCAAGGTCTCCTCTCTACAAAGCACAACACTAATGTATGTTTTGTTAGACCTCAGTTCAAGTGCCCCTATTTATTTCAATAAGAATACACACATCCCCGCCGCTTTTATTTGTCATCTCTCTCTAGTCTTCTGATTGCTTCTATCTTCCATTCCCCCTTGTCTTTTTTCACCCCTTTGAAGAGTTATGCTAGTGAATCTTAACTCTGAGGATACTTTTTAGGTTTGTGAAGGCGGTGGTTAAGGGCACAAGGACAGCCCCGGGGACATTAATGTAAATACGTCTCTCCTAATCACCACACTGCAGCTAAACAGTGTGTAGAGTTTTCCCAGTCAGCTTTGCCATACTGACGTCAATCATTTGAGAGAAATTATTCAGATTTTATTTTTGTATCTGTGGTAACAAAACATTAACCAAAAGATTTTCTGTTGGGAAGCTTCCCCTGACACCCCCCCCCCCCCAGCTATTTGCTCACATTAACAAATTAAAGTGCCTGAAGCATAAGTCATTCTTTACCTGTATACTAAAAACCCTGTTGTATTGATTTTTTATAAGCCTTTTTACCTCTGTGTAAAAATATATATATACAAGTGTATGATGTACATTTTAGTTCTTAACTTTTTTTTATGGTTTCTAATATGTATGACCAATGTAGCCATTGCTTTAAAATGTACCGTGTAAATATACAAACATCCTATCAGATCACAGACTTTGGGGTGTTTATCTGACTGGAGGTGGTTGGCTGTTGCACCTGGGCAGGCATGGGAGTTCTTGAACACAGGATGGGAAGGGGTTTCCTTTGGAGAAGGATGTGTGGACACCAGTCTGTTTTTGTGAGGCCTTCCCGCCTATGGTTATGTCATATTCCCCAGGGGAGACTGCAGCTCCTTGGGCTGAGATGCCTCAAGTGAAAGGAATGCTGTATGTCACCACCCGGGGAACACCCCCTCTTCCTAGTCCTGGCTTCCCCCACGCGTGCTCCTCAGAGGGAACAGCTGTACTTCCTCTGAGTTGTTTTCCTCTGATTCCTGCTGAACCCCTGTGTGTGTGTGTGTGTGTGTGTGTGTGTGTGTGTGTGTGTGTGTGTAGTTGAGAAGAGAGTTTTTCACAGAAAACAAATGTTAAAATTGCAAGACCCTTGGACTCATTGGAGAGGTCCTGTTTCAGTGACATTTGGCCCACTTTCCCTTCCAAATGGGCTCTTTGGATGCTCAAAAGTTACAATAACAATTCCCTGGAGGAGATAGAGTATGGGGTCTTGCAAGGGTCACAAAGGAAAGTTTCAGCTCCTTCTGCTAGAGAACAGAGTAGGAGCCTTAAAAAGAGATGTATAGAAGGGCCCCTCCATCTTAGTTTTAACTCTGCCTGAAAGGGGTAACTTTTCCAAGCCACTGGCAAAGGTGAAAAGCAACAGGAGATGCTATGTGTCAGAAAGTGAGTGGACAGAAAGCAGTCTTGAAGATTAGTAACTAAGAGAGTAGAGAAGTTAATGAAAACGGCTCCATTAACACCAGAAAGGCATACACCAAATTATGGTGGTGTGAAGAAGCAAAAGGAAGTAAAAATATAAAATGTAAACCAATTTTTCAAGAAGTTTGATGGTAAAAGAACAATGGGGTTTCTCGGAAGTAGAACTGATGAATTGAAAAATAGTATCTGCCAAGATAATATCTGTGTATTTACATGTTGTTATGACAGTTAATCCTGAATAAACATGTGATTTTAAAAAGTGAGAAAACTTGGAAGGTACCTCCAGAGCTGCAGTAGGGAAGGAATCCTAAAATTTTACTTGACCTGGCCCTATTCAAGACACGTCCTTCTCATGATCCCTGTTTACAACCGTGGAGCTGAAGCTTACAAAGGGTAAGTAACTTAGAAAGGGTAAGGCACAAGGAGGTATAACGTACCTATAGTGATGAGAGGCAAGCACCAAACCTGAGCCCAGGTCCTGACCAGACTGGGAAAGTGGGCAGCAGTCAAGAGACACCTTATTCTCTTGGGCTGCCCCAGAACAGCTTGTTTTCAGGGTCCTGGTGTTCAGCCAGGAGTGGGTCACACTGCATACATCAACTCTTAACCCTCCACGGAACAGAGGGTTCATTTCTACTTTACAAGTGAGGAAGCAAATACAGAGACATTACTTTAACCCCACCTAGGTCACTGGGGAGTCTCAGCCATTCCTAGTGTTACCACTACCCTCTGAGCAAATGACTTCACTTTCTGAGCCTCAGTTTCCTCAGGTATATGGAATAATGCCTACTCTCAGCATGGCATGAAAGTTAAGTAATCATGTGTACTTACAGGGCAGTACACAGAAGGTACTTCCAATATGCTAATTTCTTTCTCAGTTCCTCCTTTGTTCTGGGACCCTGAGGAAAAACCGAAGCCTGGAGAGTCAGCAACCTCTTTGAAGCACAGGAGGCTAAAGCCATTTTGGATGTTTTGTGAGTATTTAAATACACAACCTCTATGTTGAGATTTTTTTCTTAATCTCCCTGCAATTCTAAATTAAGGTTTTAGTTTTTGTATTTGTTTTTTGCTGGTCCTCCCAGATACATTAACAACCCATGGGATAGCTGCAGAAGTGAACTCATCTGGCTCCATTCCTCAAGAACCAGTGCAGACATTTTGGAGAAAGTTGATGGCCTCCATCAGTTCAGTTCTGAGAGGGCTTAGCATACTCACCCAGGGTTGACAAACACTGACTTGCAGAATACTGCCTTCCTGGACCTCTGTTCCTAATACTCTTCCATGCTCATTACCAATGTGGGTACCCCCCACCCCTGAAAATTGGGACATCTTCCCAGGGGAAAAAGTGTTATAGGAAGAGTTCTGTTTTACAGGTATTTTCAGGTAGTTATTAAAACATGACTTTGAGCAGGCAATCAGAGGGCTATTCCTATGAATGAGGAAATAGAACTTGTAAAAGTATGTCTTCTGCTTACTGGCATTCTTTTTTTTTTTTTTTAAAGATATTTATATATACAAGCGCTGGGTACAGTCAGAAGCGCCGGAGGGTGAGAGAATTCACCAGAGCCAGAGCGGGGAACAGAGCAGGCAGACTGATGAAGTACACTGCTGAGGGGAGCAGCGGGCACGGCAGGAGAGGTCTGCGCGCCATGTGGGACCCTCGCCAGCTGGCCAGGGATCGAACTGGTGCTGCAGAGGCTGCGGGCAGCTTTGCAGCCCAGTGCTCAACGGCTGCGCCACCAGGGAGGACCTATTTTTACTACTTTTAACTGTATACTAGCTTTGTAAGTGGTTAAACCACTATCTTTACTATATATGTAAACTTTATCAGTGAGATTTATATTTTTATATATTTTTTTTATTACTAACTCGTATGCTTTCTTTTCAGCTTAAAGAGGTCCCTTAAACATTCCTTTTAAAACCAGTTTGGTGGGCCTCCCCTGTGGTGCAGCGGTTGAATGCTGGGTTGCGAAGATGCCCACAACCTCTGCAGCGCCAGTTCAATCCCCGGCTACTCCCCGGCCACCGGAAGAGGGTCCCACATGGCGCGCAGGCCTCTCCTGCCGCCCGCTACTCCCCTCAGCAGTGTACTTCATCATTCTGCCTGCTCTGCTCTCCGCTCTGGCTCTGGTGAATTCTCTCACCCTCCCGCGCTTCTGACTGTACCCAGTGCTTGTATAAATAAATAAAAATAAATCTTTTTAAAAAAAGTAAATAAAACCTGATATATTTTGAATATATCAGGCTACTCCCTTCTGGCCTGTAAAGTTTCTGCAAAAAAAAAATCTGCTGATAGTCATAGAAGGGGTTCCTTTGCACATAACAAGCTGTTGGTGTGGTTTTTTTTTTTTTTCTTCTTTTAAGAATCTCTCTTTTATTTAAAATGTGTCTTTAGAGACCCTACAAGGTGACTCACTTCAGATATGAAGATATACAAATTAAAGTGAAGGAATGGAAAAAGACAATCCACTCAAATGTAAACCAACGAGCGCTTGGTTAGTATACTTATGCCAGGCAAAACAGACTTAAAAATAAAGATTGAAATAAGACTTAAAGAGGCCATTAAATAATGTAAAAGAGATCAGTTCAACATGAGGATATAACATTAGCAAATTTTTATGTATCCAACATAGGAATACTGAAATATATAAAGCAAATTTTAATAAAGCTAAAAGGAGAAATAGCAATACAATAATAGTGGATCTTAACACCCCTCATCCTTCAATGACTAGATCATCCATCCAGAAAATCAATAAGAAACATCAACCTTATACATGTTATTTGAGACGAACTTAACAGGTATCTACAGAGCATTCCACCCAAAAGAAATAGGATACACTTTCTTCTCAAGCACACTTAGAACACTCTCTATAGATAGTATGTTCAATCGTTAAGAAAATTGAAATCATGTCAAGCATCTTTTCCAACCACAACTGTATATGCTAGAAATTATGAAGAAAATTACCAAAACTCACAACGTAGAGATTGTTACATGCTACTCAGCAACTGATGTGTCAAAGAAGAACTCAAAAGAGAAACAAAAACTACTTTGAGACAAAAGAAAATGGAAGTACAACATCCCAAAATGTATAGCATGCAACAAAAGCAGTTCTAAGAGGGAAAGTCAGAGAGGTAAATGCTGACAGCAAGAAACATGAATCATCTCAAATAACCTAATTTTACACTTCAAGGAACTAGAAGAAGAACAAAGTTAGTAGAAGGAAGGAAATAACAAAGATCAGAGCAAAAACAGAAAGGCAAAGACACAGAAGACATCAATGAAGCTAAGAGCTGGTTCTTTGAGAAGATAAGTAGGCAAACCGTTGCTACACTCACCATGAAAAAAGAGAGCATAAATAAAATCATGAAGATGTTACAACTGATACCACAGAATTACAAAGAACCATGTGAAACTACTATTAACAACTATATAACAACAAATTGAACAACCCAGAAAAAATGGATATTTTCCTAAAAACATACAATCTACCAAGATTGGATCATAAAGAATTTAAAAATATGAACATCCTGGTTACTAGTGTAAGGGTACTGATTCTGTAATCCAAAACATCCCAACGAACAAAAGTTTAGTACCAGATAGTTTCACTGGTTGATCTACCAAACATTTAAAGAATTAATAGAAATATTTCTCAAACTCTTCTAAAAAACAGAAGAGGGCCTCCCCTGTGGCACAGGCGGTTGAGCACAGCGCTGTGAAGCTATCCACAGCCTCTGCAGCGCCTGTTCAATCCCGGCGGCGAGGGACCCACATGGGGCAGCAGACCTCTCCTGTCCCGCTCACTGCTCCCCTTAGCAGTGTATTTCATCAGTCTGCCTGTTCTGTTCCCTGCTCTGTCTCCGGTGAATCCTCTCACCCTCCCGCGCATCTGGCCTACCCCAGTTCTTGTATAAATAAATAAATCTTAAAAAAAATTAAAATAATAAATAAATAATAGAAGAGACAGGAATACTTCCAAACTCATTGTAAAAGGCCAGCACTGTTATCCTGATACCAAAACAAGACAAGAACACAAGAAAAGAAAGCTACTGGCCAATATCCCTGATGAACACAGATGCAAAAATACTACAGAGTATGAGCAAACCAAATTCAACAATATACATTAAAGAGATCACAGTCAATTGGGATTTATTCCAGAGATGCAAAATGGTTCTACATCTGCAAATCAATTAATGTGATACACCACACTAATAAAATGAAGAGTAAAAGTCATAATTTCAATAGATGCAGAAAAGTCACTTGATAAAATTAAACATCTATTTATAAAATTTGTCAATGAAATGAGTATGGCAGAAGCATTCCTCAACAAAATAAAAGTCATATAACACAAGCCATAACTAGCCTTATAGACCAGCCATACTCAAAAGACAATAGAAGCTGATTACAGAGTAACTGAAAGTTTTTCCTCTGAGATCAGGAAGACAACAAGGAGATCCATTTTCATCAATTTTATTCAACATAGCATAACTTAGGAAGTCCTAGCCAGATCAGTAAATTGAAAAGGAACAAGTAAAACTCACTATTTGTAGATGACAGATAGAGCAAATCCTATAAAGATTCCAACAAAAAAGATAGACCTAATAAACAGATTCAGTAGTTTCAAAATATACAAAACCAAAATGCAAAAATCAATTGTGTTTTTAAACTCTAAAAGCAAATTATCAGAAAGAAATGAATAAAACAATCCCATTTACAATTGCATCAAAAAGAATAAAAGGCTAAAAAGAAAAAAAAAATGCTAGGAATAAATTTAACCAAGGCAGTGGTAACTTAAAATGATCATACACCACGATCAAGTGAGGCAAGATGACCTCTACAAAAATATGAGATTGGGCCTCCCCGGTGGCGCAGCGGTTGAGAGCTGGGTTGCGAAGCTGCCCGCGGCCTCTGCAGCTCCGGTTCGATCCCCGGCTGCTCCCCGGCCACCAGAGGAGGGTCCCACATGGCGCGCAGACCTCTCCTGCCACCCGCTGCTCCCCTCAGCAGTGTACTTTGGTCCTTCTGCCTGCTCTGCTCCCTACTCTGGCTCTGGTGGATTCTCTCACCCTCCCGCGCTTCTGACTGTACCCAGTGCTTGTATAAATAAATAAAAATAAATCTTTAAAAAAAAAAAAAATGAGATTGATGAATGAAACTGGCAATGGAAAGATATTCCATGCACATGGATTAGAAGACTTAATACTTAAATATTCATAGTACAAAAAAAGTCTATAAATTCAATGTAATCTATATTAAAATCCTGATAGTATTTTTCAAATAGAACAAAAATTCTGAAATTTGTGTGGGAACACAACCTCAAATGGCCAGAGTAAACAGAGAACAACTAATTGCTACAGGTGGGTGAAACGGTGAAAGGAGTCAAACTTTGTTATCGTCAGTCCTGGGTGTGTAGTATACAGCATGATGACTGTACATCTTTTGTAGGTAAGCAGTATGTTTTGAGTAGATGTTAAAATTCCTCACCACACTG